ATTACGTCTTATAGTTTATTGGAACCTCTGCAAGATTGTAGTTCTTAACAAGGCTCACGTTTCGGCTTTCTTCGCCTTCTTCAGAGCCTGAAAAATCGAGAACATTGAGATCGATCCTTCGAAGCTTCCAACCATCAGTCGGTTCTGAAATCCAGTTCGGGGGGGGGCACTCCATTGCTATCTTATCCGTAGTACTAGAGAGCAGTTCTTTGGGCTATCGAACACTACGGATAAGATAATAAGTGAACGACTCATTTCGAGCGTACTTTTGATAAGGACCGGTGGATGTCCTACATTCCACACTACCTGCCCACATCCCATCCACTTTTCTGCACAGGTGATCCACCCTGGAGCTCCTGCACCCTTAGCCCTTTGCGGAGGTGTCCTTTCTCCTGGTCCAGGACCGTTCCCTTGGGTCATGGCAGGCGGAAATGTGAAAACGTTTCAGGGTTTCTCACCCATTACACCAATATTTATCAGAAGTCTACTTTAAATGAGTCGATTACGTGTCGTGAGCCCTCTAATCCTTATCTTGAGTATTGGAGAAAAAATGGAGTGGCCCCCCCCGAACTGGAGTTTCACCTAACAATCCTTTGAAGACAACTCCAAGACTAGAAAACCCTCAGAAAAGAGAATGACGTTTTCATATAAAGGGTGGGCCAATCGATGTAGTGACGCGGGTAAACCCACTTTTCTTTGAACTCCTCATTCTCTTTCCTGTTATACGGCATGCCCTTTCGAGGCTTTAAACTCTAGCCGGCTGAATTGGGTTAATTAAGATCTTTTTTCATTTTTCATCATTTTGGTATCCACACTTCTATTATCGACTGCTCTTTCCCCACGAATTTGTACTGGGAGTGCACTTTGAGTGACGAGTAATTCCATTAATTTGTCCACATTATGGCATTCCATAAGAACCGAAAACTTGGTTCTGGACGCTTTCACTGTTGTTGTCCAAAAATGTTGCCATTACCGAATATGGACCGAGATCAGCGTTATACTGTGTTCAGGTAACCAACAATGGATTGTGTGATAATCTTGTACCAATCGATGAACCCGAGCTAAGCCTGCTTGACTGGGATGATGGTCGAAAGGGAAACACGGTTGTTAGAAACTTCATCAGAGGCTGGAAGACTGCACGTAATGAACTCGTTCGTCGGGTGATCTATTATTTTTATGTTTTTTGCTACTTTATTTTGTTCAAACTTCGTGCGCCATTATTCCACCCGTTATTTCAGACGCTATTCTATTCTGATATCATTGGAATGTCGACTTCTGTAGAGCTGAAGACCTGTGGGCATACTGTACATATGAAGTGCTTCAATGCTTATCGAGAAACTCTTCGAGTGGGTTTCCTTTGTGATTTTTTTCTCTTCGTGAGGCTCCCACTTTAAGCCGTTAGTAAAGCGCGCAGGGGTGGGACTAGCTCCTCGTCGCCGCGGTGCTAAAGTGCATACAACAGTGCTTATGCACGACTCTGCACTTGTGGATCTGGGAGTCCTCAGATTGTGAGGGAGCAGTAACCACGAGGAGCAGTCCCATTCGAAGAGCATAGGGCAGTCATCTAAAATGCCCAGGGCTATAACATTTTCCACAATCATAATGATTTCGGCCGCTTGATCGCTCTGACAAGTCCAAGCTTCTCATTCAGCACGGTCAATTGATTAGTTTCGGTTTTTCTAGAGAACAAAAATATTGAAGGGGAAGTTGACCTAATCACATTTCCTTTCTCAAACTTCCCCAAAATATCAACCGCATTCTAATAGAAGTTCCGGCACTATTTACCCTTTACTGCCCCACTCCTAAAGAACTGAGCCGGATTTTGATCGAAATTCGTCCATGACTGTGGATTTGGCTAGAAACTTGCCTTCAGGGGTAATTTCGACCCGTAGAACACGAATATCACACCGGTTTAGCGCGAAAACGCTTGGCGCCCGCGCCACAGGCGCCGGCGCTATCACAACAGTTTTGCGCGGGCGCTCGTAGCGCAGGCTACAGGCTCACTCGTAACAAACTAATGTGATATTCATATTCTACGGGTCAAAATACCTCTGAGGACAAGTTTCCAGCGAATTTGGTGATCCGAGATGTTCTGGCGCCTTTTGGCGCCGGCGCTTCTGGCGCGAGCGCTAAGTTTTGCAGCGTCCCTTTGTTGCCCTGCACCTCACGTTATTTGTTTCTTTTTTCTCACAGAAATAATTTTTTTTAAATTTTTATCTCCTTTTTTTAGAATGATCAGAGAGTCAGTGAATCTCGTCGTTCTATTCGCGATGTGTCATGTTTTCTTTGCCGATTCAGCGTGAATGCTCTTTTGCCATTACGGATCGACTGGGGTTTTGAGACAGCAAATCGAGACTCATTGGTGGATGATCGTTTGAAGGTAACTACATGTAGCTTGATCTTTTGTATGCAATTCTCGAATATGATGGTCATATTACATTGAACTTCGTTTTTTACAGGCGCGATTCGAATCCTTTGAGACTGGCAATCGTGAACTGGCAGTGAAATACACAGAGCGAGTGAATCTTTCCACTTGTATTTTTTTCTGAGCCTGTCGTAGCTATTCTTGGGCGAAGTTCGAACTCAACTCGATGTGAGGAACAAAACCTCTGGAACTATCTTTTCACATTGCTTATTGTTAGCTTAAAAGAGTCGGATGGATGGATGGTACTGTATTGCCACAAAAAGTGTTTGTACTATCGCGATAGTTTTCAATCAGATTAGTAGATTTCTTACCAGTGAGATCAAGTGTCAGGTAGCTGACCATAATTTTGAGTGGGGCCAGGTATCTAGAACCTCAGGACGGAGAGAATGACATACTGATCACCAGCCAAATTATTAGCTTTTTGAGGAAGGTGTAGAGTTAGAGCATGACCTCTGGAGCCTCGCGACTGTGGGAAGGAGGTGGCAGGGAGGCCGTAATGTTTTTCTCAGACAAAGATGAGTCATATTGATAGGAATGCGGACTATAGAAATTTTTGGAACAAGTGTGAAGAATTCCTCAGGGATTTTTCGAGAAATATAAAAAGGTTTTTCTGGAACCTTCACGTATTCTTGGGACATTTCAAAAAAATCGGGATTTCCCCTGTCCCGATTGTAGTATGTGTTCCCGCTCCTCGTCTGATCCTTCTGCTCCCTTCACCCTTCCACCACCTGACTGGATTTTTTGGACTTAGCGGGGTTTACCTGTATATTTCCAGTTGAAGGCTGTGGGGTGAAGAACACATCTCCCGTAGGACTTCAACCTTTACCAGCAAGCCTTCACCTGGAAATAGGCTGGGATGTCGTTGGATCAAGCCGCTTTTGGGGCACGTCAAGCATTCTACTTCTATTCAGAATCGTGGTGACTTTTTGAACCCGATATATGGCCTACACAGTGACCTGCGGCGGGGGTTGGGCGGAGGGATGGGGAGGCTGCAGAAATTTGTTATATTAGCTCCCACACCTACATGAGTCGACAGCTCTCCTACATGAGCTGTTGACCTCTCCCTTTTGCTGTTCTCTATCTTCTTCTTTGTGTTCTCCAGATTGTCTCGAAATCCTGTTAATGATTTTTTTCGCCCAGCCCCCCCCCCCCGGAATTGCGTTCCTTACACATTGCATCTCCCTGTACACTAATATCTTGCATAAATTCAGGAATTCGACCTGACTGAGTTGTGGAAGTGTTTTTTTTATGATTTCGAAGCTTAAAAGATGCAGTTGCAGTCTTCGGATGACTACCGTCCTTACTCTGAGCATTTTACGGAACACATCTACGACTTGATGGACACTCGCTACTGGAATAGGTCGGACGATGAGGGTGCCTCCATATTCCAAGTACAAACTCAACTCGTTGCATTAATGAAGTAAGGTTTTGGATTGACAAATTGCTCCCCTGTTAGCAGCTGACTGTCCGCTATTTCCTGGACCGTGTTTCATGTTGCTATGAGATCGAATTCTTGCAGAGCAACGGTTGAAAGGTGCATTTTGTTGAAGAAGATCAGTGTCCCCGAGCGCCGAAAGGGCACGCGATCAGCTGTAACAGGTACTTACGCACTAATTACTTTCTGTTGCTTTCATTTCCTCGACTTTCGTTTATTACGCACTAATCGATTGAAGCTTTACGTGAAATTATGATCACGGAAAATAGGAATCGGAGGAAGGAAATCACCCTGTAAATTAGAAGATAGCGTCTTACACCTTAGTCATACTCAAAGCAAACCGAGCGCCTTGATTTAGAACGTCTCAGTGATTATCTTGACACAAAAACACACATTCAAGCAAACCGTTCAGTAGTCGTGCGTACCATTTGTAGGCGTTCCCCTGGAGCTAACAAGGGGGTCTTTCAGGACATGGAGCATTTTTTTTTCAAAATGGTTTTCTGAATGTTGTAGAGGCTCATGTGAGGAACACAGAACCATGGTCCATTTTTCCTGAACGCCCCCAGGAATGTCAAAACAGCGGGAAGAAATGGTCCAAAGTTCGATCCTCCGTGATGACAAATTTTTGCAATTTATGTTGGCGCCTCCAAATTGCCGCAAAACACGACAATGACATCTATTCTCGACGATGGCGCCATTTGGCGGCAATCTGGGGCGCCAAACTATATTGCAAAAATTAGTCATCACCGGGGATCGAACTCTGGACCATTTCTTCACCACTGTTTTGACATTCCTGGAGGCGTTCAGGAAAAATGGATCATGGTTCTGTGTTCCTCGCATGAGCCCCTACAACATGCAGAAAACCATTTCGAAAAAGCGCTCCATGTCCTGTAACTAATGTTACGGAAACTGTTAATCAAGCAGGCATCGACGATTTAATCCATGCTCTTATAAGCAACAATCATGTGTAGTAGAATATTTTTGTGAGACTTTCAAGATATCTGCGCAATCAGCAATTCTCTACTTCCAAAAAATTTGCTTTTTGATTGTATTCTATTCAGAACATTTGATTGCGGCTTGTGTGTGTCGCACAACACGGCGAGATGAAGAGATAAGTCTTTCTGCCGTGCGAGATCTGCTGCTACCAAAGATTGAGAAGAATCTGACGGTCAGTCACTGATCCCGTTCCTGTCAAAGTTTCCATTCCATTTCCTGCGAGTGGTCGTGCAACCGTCAATTTCAGGTACATTTGGGTGAAGAAGAGCCTCTGACATTCTCAGACGATGACCTGATAAATGTTTCTGACATTCGAATGGAGGATTTGGTTGCTTTGCAGTCTGTAAGTGTGATCATTGGTTTCGTCGTTTTATTTACATCAGTTTGCTATTTTCCTGACTTTGTTTCTCTGGCTTTTATCTCTTAATTTTCCCTTGCAACATTTGGTGCTTTTTTACAGACTTCGGCAAGGGAGCGCTCTCGTCGACACTCATTGACCGACAAACCTGTGAATCCTAGGACGTATTACCTTGACAAGCCGTCATCTGTGAGTTTTCACCTATTTTTTTCAAATTGTCAAAATTTTTAGTTACGAAATTCCCTTTGTTTAGGTTCCGCTCCTTCTTTTCGATCTGAAGTCGCTGTTGATCCGACTCAGTTCCTTCGTGCTTGACAATCAGCATTATAGCGCGGATGACAAGAAAAGTTCGTGCTTGATGGAGTCTGTATGATTACCGCGCACCATTGTAATGTCACTTCCATTCTGTTCTGGCAACTGGAAAATTCTCTTCCCTTATCCTGATTCGATTTCTCAGCGTATGGTTAGGAATTAGAAGGATTACTTGGATAGCAATCTTTGCTGATCATATATTAGACCCTATATTTGTAATTATAACTGTATCCGCCGAGCGTAATTAGTGTTTCTTCATCATCGGGACTCCCTCTAAAGAAAACTAAAAAAACCTTCTGAATATCTCGTTCAGAACTTGCTCAAGTCTGGCTCGGAGATACGTCAGCGTGCATGGTAAGAACCGATCTTCTTTCGTCTGCCTGATGCCGAAGCTCACAAGTCCACCCTCGATTGGAGATCGCGTTCGGAACAAAAATACCAGAAAAATTTACAGGGTTGAGCCTCAGTCTCTACTAGTAATATTCTTACAGTACTGCTAAAATAGTATAAGCATAAATTCCTAGCGTTGCTGGCAATGGTTTTTCAAGTTCTTGTCGATAATTCCCGGGAACTGTAGTCTGTCTGAGGAATGGCTTCCAGAAAGGTGTTCTGTAATTGTTTCTGAATGTCTTTCGGATGTCTGGGACACAAATTCTCCAATGATGTAGCTGTGCGGTGCGAAAGAAGTGTTGAGGGAAGATCAGAGATATCAGCGGGGAAATAGCGTTCAGTTATATTTGTACCGAATATGTGAGAAAAAATTCATGATGGGGAACCTCACTCTGAAAAAGCGCCGTAGATCTTTGGTTAGAGATGTGCAAGACATGGGATCCCGCGGACGAGACCATAGCCCTACTCGGAGCAGAAACGGGGGAACGGTGCTTCAAGACACAAATTCCAAATGCCACAAATTCAAAAAAGAAAACTCATACACAATAGTTTCATTCTTTTTATCTTGCCGAGCAAGGCACGTTATTTTCAGCCATTCGCACAAGTGCCTCGGATGGTTTGGAACCGTCTTTCATCAAACGCTGCCTACCTGAGTAGCCTTCTGGAAATGGTTCATCATGATGGTTGGCAGGTTAGTGGAATCTGCTACAACTCTGGTGAAAGAGACCCATCTGACTTCAAACCTTTCCAGGAGGAGAAGTCATTCAGTGAAGCTCTTGAATGGACGATGATTGATTTTGTCTATTTCGTGACGGAATTTTGGCAGCATGTTGGGCTTTTGAAAGGCAATACTACGTGTGACTACAGCAAGTACTGGCCTTGAAGAAGCGCTAAAGAATCTCGGCCTTGGTAAGTTTCTTCGTTGAAGATTTCCTGCGCAGTTCAAGGTAGCAAGGGCTAAAGATATTATGATGGACCATGGTTTATAGTGATTCCTTCTTGCCGCTGATCGGAACTTCTGTAGCGCATTTAGTAAGATATGTATGTGTTCTTATAGCGTGTAAACTAACAATGGTCATAAAAGATCGACATCCGCAATGAGATAAAGCTTGCAACTAAGCGCTAAGAACAGTCACAGTTACATCATAAGTACAATTTCCCGTCTACGGCACTGCTTCGATGGCATTTGTTTTTTCACCTTCGTGGTTCGCCTTATCATTTCCCTACTACGCAGCTTTTTTTCTGATAATTCTAGTGATCACCGTAAATAGTACTATAGTTTATTGGTGATAGTTATAGTAGTGTATTCAACAGTAGATTCTCTCTTCATACAAAGGTGGAATTAAGATTATCTGATTTCAAAAATCTCTGGGATACGCCGGTCGCCTATGACGTGTGAGAAATTGTTTGAATTCATTGTTTTGCTCAAGTATAAAGGCACCTCCCACGATCAAAAGATGTGGAAGTTTTGCTCGAAAATGGCTGAATAGGTACGGAGGGACTTGTGTGTAAAGTAAATGACAATACTGGGTTGTGAACAAAACTTTCGCCCAGGCGGGACTTTGCGGCTAAGATGGCTGAGATTAGTCGCATAAGTTCACTTTGTAAGACCCTAGCGCCATTATCGCGCACTTTCAAGCCGCGATAACAGCACATTCGTGCTACTTGTGGGCTACTTTATACCATCCACTGAATAGATTCTCCGAAACGACTTCTGCTGGGGGTGTTGCTAGAGCTTTCATAAGAATGTTACTGTAAAAATGGATGAATAGCATTTCTCCGAAAAGTTACTCATCATGAATACCTTCTGATTTCTTACATAATGGTTCACTTGGAGAGAAATTTCCAAAGTAATTTTTTAAATAAATTTTTGTGAAACTGCTGTCTGATAGAGGTCATTATGTTAAGATCAGTCGAGCATCGTTCCGGAACAGGAACAAGTAGAAGCATGGATCCGACATTTCTCCCCGTTTCTCATATGGAACTACGACACATCGCGAAAGGTGAGGTGCTACTAATAGAATTTTCATTTTTATTCATTTTTTTTACAGTTCAGTTGTTTCTCATGGAATACCTTGTCGAACAGTGCTATAGCTTTAAACTCACAAGATTTATTCGAAATATACAGTAATTTACAAACATTTTGATTTCCTCGAGAAATGTTTTAGGTTTCCAGTTCACTTTCGGCAGATTCCTTTGAAGAAAGTACAGCCATTAAAACAATCAACAGAATTATTAATATGCAAATCATAACCTGAAAATATGTTATATTATAATACAATTCTTATATTATATCAATAATAAGTTTATGTTTACAAAGGGCGACACCAAGTTAACTAAACGTAAAATTTGCATTTTTTGCGGGTATATGGGAACTTTTTCTTGGACTTAGTTGATTGTGTCGTAATCCACATATTTAAAGTACTAAGAATTAATGTTGGTATTAATTCTTACCAAGTATATTGTGCATGTCCAGAATGCTCCAGATAGAGTGTCCAGTCACAATAGTGTTCTTCGAACATATGCTCTTCAAAATGGACATAGGGTTTACTACCGTACACCCATATACAGCCTGAAAGTCATCAATATTTCACTCATCCATCAATCCAACCTTAACCTTAACTGGCATAGCCCTTAGCCAGCATGCACATGCAGTCGCGAAAAAGCCTTGACCATTCATACTGCAATTACGTGAAACGAGCTGGCATTCACGACCGTGGGCACAAGGACGCGTTTTTGACGGTGAATGAGGCTTAGATCGTTGAAATTTCCTGGCCAGCGGCCATGTCGTGTTGATTTGCAAGAGTAGGCGGAAGGAAATCCC